TCAACTCCCAGAATTCCTCAGCCAGCAAAGCTGGCTGAGGAATTCTGGGAGTTGAAGTCCACAAGTCTTAAAGTTGCCAAGGTTGGACACCCCTGATCTAGTTAGATATGCCGCCTCAGCAGAAACTTTCATTTTTAGGAGACAAAACTGTTTTTTTTTTATTTCTGGAAAATTGAAGATTTCCAGGTAGAAGACTCAAAAGGCCCTGTGCAGTTAATCTGTCTTTTCCTCTTGAAGACTTTTTGTTGTAATTTATCTCAGAAATGAAGGGCGGGGGGGAGGGAGGGAAAAAGAAATAGCAAGCCAGCACAAACTGGGTTTCCACTTGCCTAGACAGAATTTTTATTTGGGACAGAATGGCTGCAAAACAAAATCCTTGTCTGTTTTATGATTTAGCAGCTGACTTGTACTCTGGCCCAAGGTATATCGTATTAGCTTCAGTGATGTCCATTGGGGTTTTTTTTTTCTGTCTTTGAAACACAGTGCTGGTTTTTATTTCCCATTTTGTTGAGGAGAGGGAAGAGCAAGAATTGTGCTACATAAAAGAACACTGAGAACCTAGAATGTGCAGTTCACAAGATATTAAAGGAGAACTACTTAGGTAAAGATAAGCATGGACGGCAGCCTTTGAAGCCTTCTTAAGAAATTATGGACACCCTTTACCCTGCCAAGGAAGGGCTATATTTTCTTAATAATATTTTACAGATTGCATTGCATGCTAACATTAGATTGGGCTGAAGCCAGTGGAAGGCAGGGCAAAGAATCCTTCCTTCCTCCCTCCCTCCCTCCCTAACATTTGCTGGATTTGCTTGATGTCTAAATGTATTATCTGCTAAAGTCATTTCAATTAGGCCACAGCACATCAGTTAAGCTCCATGTGACACAGTGGCTGCCCAGTTTTGCCTTAGGATACCAAAAGTTAATGGCATCTGAATTCATGGTTTGACGTCTGATCTCTCCTCCCCCCCTCCCCCATATTCTTTAACCCTAGGGAACTGTGCCCATTACCAGAAAGGTGGTTGGTGGTACAATATGTGCGCCCATTCCAATCTCAATGGCATCTGGTACAAGGGTGGTCACTACCGAAGCCGCTATCAGGATGGAGTCTACTGGGCAGAATTTCGTGGTGGTGCCTACTCAATCCGTAAGGTGGTAATGATGATCCGGTCTACGCAAGGCAGCTAAGTTGCTCTTATCCACTGAAAAGACAACAAACCAGACCAAAATCCAGATGGATGTACTTTACAAAAGAATACACACTGTGCTTTTTTATTATCTGACCTCAGGAGAAACATCTTTAACTATCTATGTAATGCACTGATTGGCTGAGAGCCTTGTACTTCACAGATGCCCCCACCCAGTTGCTTCTCAGGCCATTTTGCAGCTTTCATAAAAAATATTGCTTTTATCTTTCATCAAAAGAAGAAAGTGCCAAAGATATCTCAAACAGTACTTTAAACCATTTTAAAAGCCCTTGAAATCTGGCAAAAAAGAAAGAAAAAGCATATCGAGACACCATGTGGCAGAAAGCAATATTGTACAGTAGTAGAATTACATTTTAAAAGTATTTTTTGCTTTTTCCTGATAGAGTTCTCATCACCCACCTTTGAGTTGACAAAAAATGATACTAGCATCCAATTTGCTCTCCCTGTTGTTGCTAGCCCTGCTCCCTGAAATTGGCCCAGTCCTCCAAAGAAACAAATTAGATTTTATGCAACCCAAGGCTGACCTTGGAAAGTGGCAGGGTAAAGGAAAAATATTTTCATCACCGGAACAAGAAAAGGCAACTTAGATCTGTCTTAAACACAAGGTGGAGTTGAGAAGGTAGGGCAAGAAAAAATGTTGCTGGGACTAATTTGCCTGGTGTTTAAGTGTATGTGGGGACATAGTTTTGAAGATGCACCTTCATCCTTATCCTGGCATTGTGCAAGGGCAAATTCACTCGAGTGGAGTTCTCCAGCCTGGCTTCAACTGGGAGTCTTGCAATGGTAATGATGTCATTTCCAACTTGCCTGTATGCTCTATACACTTTTGGACATTAAGAGCTGGTCTTCCTGCCCAGGTTTTACACATGAAAACTGGAAGTAAAATGGTCTTCACCAAACAATGAAGTGGAGGTTGCTTGGATCACTATCTTGCTTCCTGGTAAATATATTGTCCTCCCAGGATTTATTTTTGAAGGGATGCTTTTATCAACTGTACTGGATCTTTTAACATTTGATGTGGCTCATATTCTATTTCCCTTGCCCACGCAGATTAAAATTTTATTTTGAAGAAAATAAAATCCTGAACATAAAAACATGCAAACACAAATCTTGCAAATGAAGACATATGAAATTTATTACGGATAACACTGATTGGTCCACTTGTTTTTCTTTTTCAATGATCCTTTTAACCCTTCTTAGATCCTTATTCCACTAAGAGGTGCAAGGGCTTCACAGCTGCACAAAGAAATATAGGGACAGTTCCTTCCATTCAGGTGGCCCAATCACAGCAAAAAGAAGGGATTCTCAGGCAGATCTGTGTGTCACCCTAATATGAACTCCCCTGTGCAAGTCTTCATCTCAGTTCCCTCCTAGTAAGAATGAGAGGTAAATGCATAAAACTATATTATACATACAATTGAGTCCAGATCAAGATGATTGATATTAGAACTTGAGCATCTAGCATTCAGTGTCTATTTTGCGGGAGTGAGGCTCCCACAGAGATCCCCTGGTACCTGAAACAGAATCTGGGACATTTGTCTCTTCAAACCAACCCTTATGTTTCTTAAAGAACTGCTGTTCCACTTAGTCATTCCAAGATAATGGTTGCAGTCAAGATATTGTGAGCTTCTTAACATCCCCTCAGGCGGTATAGTAGGCAACTTCTGACTGATCTTAGATTAATAGTAGGTTTACTTTGTTGGTGAAATCTGATGTCTTCATAGGAAAAATATTTTAATTTGCATTTTAATATATCAGGGCAACCAAAGATACATTGCAATTTTGTTATGGGCATTCATCGCTGATTTAACAAAAAATCTGCACAGTAGGAGACATACTAATGCTTTCCATTTTAGAATCAGAAAGTATGCTGTCAATTGTAAGGCACTGTATATATTAGCTCCCCACCCCCCCACCCCCGATGCCCTTTAAAAAGGATAATTCTCTAATATATACAGAGAAAAAATGTTTATATATGGTAGGTATAACTAATACTTCAATAGTATTACTATTATTATGCAAGTACTTTTTAGGGTAATTGCTTGCCCTTTTTAATTAAGAAAAATATTTGGTCTTATATCTCAAGAATTAAAACGTATCACAATGATAATTATTCCCTTCATCAATTGGCTTATTGTTTGCCACAGGGGTCCTCCAATTCCATGATCTTTAATGTTTTGGTCGCATGAAGTGCAGGTCTATGAGCTTCATGGTGATGACAAAGCCTCTCCAGTTTCTGTCATATCTTTGTCATAGTGTCAGATTGGACTTGAAGCAAATTGCTTTTCATGATTAGAACAGACAGGCACAGAGCTCAGGAGAATATAAAGTAAGATTTCATACAAGTGCCACTTTCCCTAATTTGCAATTTTTTGTCCATCTCCTGCAAGATGATTGGCATCTCAAGCCTACCGATGGCTAATTGCTGCCCTCGCTATCGTTCTCCTCATCCTGTTCTTTCAGATCCTCTAAGATGAGGTCATCAATGTCCAAACATGCCAAGCTGCCTTGGCTAATGCAAGTGTTTACTGTGGAACCAGTGCTATCGTGCTCTTGGCTGGGATGGATGACTTTTGGCAAGTGATTCTTCATCCGGCTTCGTGGATGAACACAACTGGTTCCAGGAACATGAGGCTCTGCAGGAGAAAAGAAAATCAGATAGTAATGGCTGACTGCTGCCCCTGTGATGAAACTGATACCTGAACCCTAGCTTAACTTGCTTCCCTACCAGCAGTGGGATCCTACCTGTTCCACTACCGGTTCAGTGATTGTGCGTGCATGCATTCACACCTAACGCGCACGCACCTAACACACACACACAGCTTTCCCCACACCAGCTGAGGCCTGCAGCGCCAATCAGCTGAGAGGATACAGAAGACAAAAGCGCAGGGGTGAGTAGGAGGGCCGATCCTGCGCTTTTCTCTTCTTTCTCCTCTCATGTATTCATAACTATGTTTATACTTACACCTATTATCTTGTAAGCAATTGACAAATCAAATCAAATCAATAAATAAATAAATAACACTGATTGTGGAGGTTTTTTTCCTCCTCTCAGCTGATCCTCAGAGGCTTTTATTTTAATACTAGCTGTTCAACCGAACCGGTCTGAACTGGTAGCATACCACCACTGTTCCCTACCCACTTCCACTTCCACCCTTTCTAGATAGCAGCAAGATCCTCTCCAAGCCCTGGTGCTGACTCAGATAGAGGGCATGGAATCCATCACCAGAACGATCCTGTGAGCCCAACAAAATGGCCTCCCTGCTGTTATATTTTTGTATTTATCCCCAGAAAGTATTCCATATAGCCCTGCGGAAGGTGCTGTTTGCATTTTTAATAAGGTATTAAACCCAGCTAAATAAAGAAAAATGAAAATAAACATTTTTACTGCCTTTTTTTGCTGACAATGACCAACATCAATTTGGTATAGCATCCCAGAAGATCACACACATACTGCCTATTGAGCATAGCAGGGATCCTGAAGATTCAGGCCACGGTCAATCTCACCTGATCGGTTGTAGCAATCTTCTGCAAAGCAAGAATGCTGCTGTCTGCCTCGGGGTCCTGGGAGCTTTCGAGGTGGGAGGATAAAGCTTGGTAATACAGGTGTATGGCACTGGAAGCAAGGCGATGGTGTCCCCATCTGAGCTGATCCCCTGTATGGAGGAGACAGAAGTAGGTCCTTTATTTATTTGATTTATATAGTCACCCATCTGACATATGTGACTCTGGGCAGCTTACAATAAAACTTGATAGCCCGTTCATTCTACCCTCAACCCCATTTCAACCCTGAGCTACAAATATTCTCCTTTATTAATAGTCCTAATATTTCCTATCACACAAGAGAGCTATGGATGTGATGCTGTCCATTAGTATTGTAAGCTAGTTTGCCTCTTCCTTGTATTTGACAATGAGTATTTATTTTGCAAAATTTGCATGATGCAGAATCTGTACAGTCTCACAACACATTTCCAATCATTAAAAGTTGCCCTTTCTTTTTAGTTCAGTGGCCTGAGGAAAAGTTATAAAACATGGTGCTATGAATTATTATGAATTATATAGGAGCTCTCACCTCACAATCAGGAGGCTGTGAGTTCAATCCTAGGTAGAGGCTAATATTTGGAATAGACTCTCTTGCTCGAGTGGGGGGTTGGACTAGATGACCTCCAAGGTCCCTTCCAACTCTGTTATTCTATGATTACTACTTAATTTCTATGATCTTGCCATTCAGGATACGTCAACACACATCATCCTGAGGTCTAGATATCAAGTGGCCTAACAAAAGATGATCAATTGACATGCTGTATATTTTGGGTTTGCCAGATTTAACACATATGTGGCTTTCTAACACTTGGGGATGATAAGCCATGCAGTGTTTGCTCTCACCTGAAAGTATGGCCACATGATGAGCATTTAAACACTGCTGTGCCCCACATTTTATCGTATGGCACTGGATCATAGCGGGTCCCACATCGGTGACAACGGGACACCTGTGAAAGATACCAAACAAAGAACTGAATAAGCTTCAACTCCCCAAAGAATCTCAATAATAGAATCAAGAGCAAATATTCTGTCAAGAGTTGTATATCAGTGCATTGTTGCTGTGTCCATTGTGCTAAGGTTGATTTAACGCAGCAATTTCTTTCCTTAGAGTCCTACCACATAGCAATCTTTTTTCATTTGCAAGCTGCAACCAAGGTCCCGTTGTAATTCCAGCCCACTTCTCTTCTTGGTACTTCTGTTTTGGCTTTACCAATGGGAACCGTGGACATATCCAAGAAACATCATCTGGCTTAGTATAAAATGTGAGCTGAGAAACAGGGGGGAAGGTTGGCAATCAATCTATTTAATGGGGCAAAAATTGTAAGAAAAATGTGTTGGAATGTGTATTTCATCCAGCGCAGTGGCGCAGGAAGCAATGGGAAAAAGCTTGTTTCCTGAGGTCGCAAGCTCCAAATGTTGGATTAGGAGTCAGCACCACACGACTGATGGGAGACATCCAGAAGCAGATGCAGTGTAATTTATTCAGTCGATGACCAGTAATAATATAAATCACATACAACACATCAGATCAAAATGAATAAGGTAAAATACCAACGTGATAGAAAGTATCTGTGCTAAAATGTAACTTCAACTAGTATAGGGTTGCAGAACAATAAACCATCAAATATAATCTAAAATAATAGTTTGAAAAAGTAAACACACATTACTTCAAATGAAGTATGTCAAGTGATTACAAGCAGTCCTTGAGTTGAAACTGGGACTAGGAACTGTGTTGCTGAGCGATCCAGTTATAAAGCATGTGACCGCATCACTTAGAGTAGGCAATTCTAGCAGGCAAGGGTGCCATCATTAAAGGAGGACTGTAAGCTTACAAATCTCCCTCATTTAGCATTGTCATAACTCTGAGGAGTTGCTGACCAAATGGTCATAACCCAAGGACTGCCTGTATAAATCTGCATATTATGATCTCAATTTAGAAATAAGGCTTGTAAAGACATTTTTTTCATAATTTCTATTACAGCAATGCAAAATTTGGCTACTGTTCACATAATGGTAAGTTTCATGTCTCCTAAAACAGTGGTCCCCAACCTTTTTTGTACCACGGCCCGGTACAAAATGATCCACGGACCGGTACCGGTATCAGCACACATGACCAAGGCAAGGCGAGCCGAGCGACCGGCCAGCCAGCCAACCCCTGCTTCTCCCTGCCACCTTCAACTCCTCCTTTGTACCTTCTCACGGTCGATGGGCTTTTTGGGCTCTTTCTTATCCTCCTCCTGAGTAATGCAAGACTCCACTGCCATCGGGATGGCTCTTCGTTCGAAGCCGCCCCCGCCCCCCCTCGACGAAACTAAGGCGCGAGGATTCCTTCAGCACCCAAATGCCACTTTCCAACCGACGATCGACAAGCTCACCCGGAAGCACTTTCTCAAGCGCCGTTGAAACAAGATGGCGGTGCCCAAGCAAAGTAGGCCCTACTTTCATTCTTTGCGGCCTGGTACAAAATGATCCATGGACCGGTACCAGTCCGGGGCCCGGTGGTTGGGGACCCCTGTCCTAAAAGAAGGAAGCCGGGGGACGGGGGGCAGCTTGCTAGGCCACGAGCACCATGTGGAGCCATGGTGGTGGTGAAGCAATCCAGGCAAGCTGGAGCCAGGGACGGTGGGGAGGCAGCTAGCTAGGCTGAGACTCGCAGGCTTACTTGGCGGGCAGATCTTTGGGCTGTAGGCAGGTGCAGAACCACACAGCGTGTGTGCTGCTATGCCACGGAGACAAGAAAAGTAATGGCAGGGCAAGGCCAGCGCTCTCTTAGAACCAATCGCGGTGGTGCGATTGGTTTTAAGAAAGCGTGCTTTGCTGAGGCACAGCACAGCACTCAAAATACCGCCCTCTGTGCTTTTTTTAAGCTCAGCTTAGTTGGGCAATCAGCTCTGCCACACGAATTAGCTGAGCTAATAAACAACAGATTTTTTTTATTGGTTTGGAGAACCGGTAGGGACTGTGCTGAGAGGTTAAGAGAGGGGCAGGTGGGCGAGGCTCGTCAAAATTTTCCCTACCAGTTCTCCGAACCAGTCAAAATTTTCATTAGAGGTTTGCCCGAACCGGTCCAAACCCCCTGAATACCATCCCTGCCCTCAGGCAATCCACAGCTCCATTTTTCTAGCTCCTAGAAGCTCCCTGGAGGACACATTGCTGATTTTTGGCAGGAAATTGCTGATTTTCAGTATCAGTGAGGAAAGTCTCCTTGTAAATATTTCTTCAAAATTAAGGGCTAAGAGTCCAATAACTTTAATGTACCTATTTTGCTTTTGAAAAAAAAAAAACCTCTAAAACCAAAGAAGCACAAAACACACAGCTTCAAAAAATGGGTTTTGTTTCTCTGGTCAGATAAACCCAGGGAGCCATGACACTGCAGGAGACTACAGGTTTGTTTGTTTTTTACGCATTTCTGTGTTGCAAAAATTTGCTCCAATTCCTTTTAAAATGAGAATGACAGGTGAACATACTAATCTCCATGCTTTGTATGAATTTAGTGTTTTACCACATACTTACATGGTCTTTTTCTTTTCAATTTGGGCAAGAGTAGAAAACAATAAAGGAAGACAGTGAGGCCATGAGAACATTATAGTCAGAAGTCAGCTTTCTTGGACCACCTTCCTTTGAGGGCTAAGCAATCATTATTTACCAGATAGGATTGTGCATTAAGGCCATCACACCGACCTGTTTTCTTTCTGGGACCTGACGCCACCACATTTGGTCACAGGGTTGGCAGGAAAACTGGCGAACAACTGGAGGGATGCGATTGTTTTCGGCATTGTTGAACATCTGTAAGTTCTCCTTTGTCAGGGGCATCAGCTGTTTAGCAACTTCCTAAGAAAACACAAAGACATGGAAGTGATCCCAAGTGCTCTAAAATACTAAACATCCAAGTATTTTCTCCATAGATTAATGTGTCTCATCAACAGGGGAAGGGAAGAGAAGGGCTTTAGATACAGATGTTCTGACTGATGCTGCAGAGAAACATACTATGGATTAGTAAGGAAGCTATTTAATAAAGCTTCCAACATATATCTCAATATGTTTTATTTTGTAATGTGTTGGAACAGTAATAAATATTCCTTTACTTCATCATTAAATATCTAAAAGTATTGTCATAAAAGGATGAAAAATTGGCTGTTCCAACACTTAGGTAGTTTTATTTACCTATTTATTTACCTATTTTAATTCTTTCAATGCTCTGATATTTGGCCAGGCACTGGACTTATTCTCCAGACAATAATGATCATACATGTACAGGACATATTCTTTAGATGTCCTACATTTGTATATTAAACAGTCCCATTCAAGTAAAAAATGATTTCTCCTACAACTGAAAAATCAGTAGATCTGGCTTTGCTAAGCTGTAACCTCTTGGCTTTAGTAAAGTGAGCTTTCATTAATAATGGAGTCGAGGGTCTTTCTTTTCTAATTGACCAAGTTGGGACGGCTGACATTAAGCCGTATCTGTGACTATGTCCTTACCCGAGAAGCAGTCAGAAGAGTTGGAGGACACTAGGTTGAAGGAAGAACTTGAAACCCTGAGACTGCAGCAGGCAGCCTGAGTGGCCAGCTTGAGTTTGGTGTCCGATTGAAGGTGACAGGAGGGAGACCAATGCCCCTGCCCATGATCCTGGAGGACTGGCAGGAGGGCTCACTGGGAGGGGCAATGCTTTGTTGGTTGTGGGGAATCAGAAAGATGGAGGAACCAGAAGTACCCCCTCTGGGGTTCAACGTCATGTGAGATGCCCTCTGGCCTCCAGATTGGGATGAAACTGTTGAAAGAGGACCCTAAACTGTGGCGTTTGACTCAACTATCTGAGAGGGAGATTCCAGGAGTTTGGGATATGTGACCGGCCCATCCTGGTGGAACAAGCCCTAGCTGCCAGCCTGGCCATGGCAGATCTAGCTGCCCCAGCACTGGCTGTTCTGGTGGCACTGGCTGCCCAACCAGCACCCACTACTGCACCATCCACAACTGCTACTCTGCCCCATCCGCACCCCCAGTACCAGTCATCCTCCCGGGTCAGAGAGAACACCAACCATACCCCTTAGGGGTGAAGTATGATGGAAGCCTGAAACAACTGGGCAACTTTGGGGGCCAGGCCTGGCATTATATCAATCAATCAATCAATCAACCAGAATAAAGCTGGAAGATAACTTGGAGGTCTTCTAGTCCAACCCCCCTCTACTCCCGGTGAAGCAGGAGACCCTACACCATTTCAAACAAGTGACTGTCCAGTCTCTTCTTAAAAATCTCTAGTGATGAAGCACCCACAACTTCTGAGGTCAAGCTGTTCCACTAGGTAATTGTTCTCACTATTAGGAAGTTTCTCCTTAATTCCAGGTTGCTTCTTCTCCTTGATTAGTTTCCATTCATTGTTTCTTGTCCTGCTCTCTGGTGCTTTGGAAAATAAATTGACCCTCTCCTCTTTGTGGCAGCCCCTCAGATACTGGAATGCTGCTATCATGTCACCCCTGATCCTTCTTTTCTCTAGACTAGCTAAACCCAAATCCTGCAGCCTTTCTTCATGTGTTAGTTTCCAGGCCTTTAATTGTCTTACTTGCTCTTCTTTGTACTTTTTCCAGTGTCTCAACATCTTTTTTGTATTGTAGAGACCAAAATTAGATCCAAGTGTGGCTTTACTAAGGCTTTATAAAGAGGTACTAATACTTTACATAATTTTGATTCTATGCCTCTGTTTACACAAGCAAGAATTGTATTACCTTTTTTGGTTGCTGCCCCACACTGCAGCTCATATTTAAATAATCATGCACTAGAACTTTTTTCTAACAGTTACTTTTTTTGAGCCACTTTTCGCTTATTCTATCCTGTACCTTTGTTTTTTCTGCCCGTATAAAACCTTGCTTTTCTCCACATTAAATCTGATTTTGTTGGATAGGGCCCATTGTTCAAATCTGTCAAGATCTGTTTGGATCCTGATCTTGTCTTCTAGGGTGTTGGCTATTCTTGCCAGCTTAATGTCATCTGCAAATTTGATGAGTTCCACTTCTATTCCCTCATCTAAATCATTTATGAAGATATTGAAGAGTAGTGGACCTACATCGGAACTTTGTGGTCCATTGATCACTTCAACCCATGCAGATGTAGTTCCATTAAGGATTACTCGATGAGTACGATTTGTCAGCCAATTACAAATCTATCTAGTAGTGATGTTGTCTATCTCACATTTTCCAGCTTACCAACAAGTAGATTGTGCTCAACTTGGAGCAGTCTGGAGTTTTTTTCCCTAGACAATGTGGCCAGGGTACACTGCAATGGCCCTGGTGTTAGATGGAGACACAGTTGACTGGCTTGTGGCCCTACACGATAACAACACGGATGAATTACACCACTTCAACCACTTCATGTGAGATCGAAGACAGGGTTATGAAGATGCTCTGGCAGACGAGCAAGCTGCCTATTCTGACCAAGGCTTCTTGAGACATTAACAAGCACACGTTAGTCCCAAACACCTTTTGTTTTATTTCAACGGCTGTGAATTATAGTCATTCACAGCCCGTAATGAGTCTCAAACAGTTTGTAAATAGTCCCACAGAAGTCTTCCAAAGTCCTTCGGGATAAGTCTGATAAGCACGCACTTTTATCTTTCTTGAAACGACTAAATTGCCAATTAGTTATACAAGACCAAACGGAGCACAAATTCAGTACAGAGCTTCAGATTTCAAACCAACCAGTACGAACAAAGTTGCTTCCTGCAAAGGTTCATATCCCTTTGCTCCTCCTTTATGTCTTACAGGAGGGCCAATCACCTCCAAGCCTTACTCACGAGTTGCCCCTTTTTTCTTAACTGCTCTTGCCTTCTGGCAACTCAGCACACACGTGCATTGGGAACAGGCTCCCCTTGTTTCTCTGCCTTGCTGCTGTCAGATTCTGGAGGCTCCGGAGTCAGCACAAAACTTCCAGATGGTCCTGGCCCCATCTCTGTATTGGATGCAGAACCTTCATCTGAGTCCTCCCCAGACCCCCGGATTGGACCAGGTTCCTCCCCACTATCTGACTCTGCTGCCAGCTCCACAGGCTGCCAGCGGACCATAGCATTGCCACCCAAATCAAACAGGGGAAACGGCCCATCATTGCCTACATCCAGGAGTTCTGATCCCAATCAATCCTGATGGATTACTTCTGAGAGGGACTAAACCAGGAGTTATGCTACACCTGCCTATCATGAAGAGTACTGAGAACCTGTTCCATCATAGATGGAGCATTTCTAGTCTCACCTTAATTTTCTTATCATCCTTGCCCCTTGTGTCCTGCAAAAAAAAAAAAAAATTAAAAGCTACACATTTGTTAAACTTCATACATAGCACTGTTAAATTGTAACTTTGGGAACAATTGATAAGGTTGCTCTATGGCAGGGTGTCAAACTCAAGGCCCAGGGGCCAGATTCAGCCCATGGGGTGCTTGGATCTGACCCGCAGGGCCACCCTGGAAACAGTGAAGGACCTGCCTATGGTGACTCTGCCAGCAAAAACATAGCTCAGGAGGGCCGCCCGCAACTCTCCTGAGCTCTGCTTTCACTGGCAGAAGGTTGCAGGAGACCTTCGCAGCCAAAAACAGAGCTTGGGAGCCCATTTTCACTGGCAGAGTGCTCGGGCCACCACAGGTGCCCCTGGCATGAGTGACATTGAGCTGGCCATGCCCCCCACCCCCCAAGGTCAAATACAATCCTGGTGTGGCCCTCAATGAAATCAAGTTTGACACCCCTGCTCTATGGCTTTTACAGTGTAGACCCCTGGTTGGTCTTTCCCATTCCACTTTCTTTCCTTTTTTTAAACAAATTTTATTAATTTTTTAAAAGACAATACATAAACAAACTAAACATAGAATGTAATAACATAAAGCATCTTTTCTGAAAAAAACCAATAAAACATCTTATTTAAAGACAGAATAATTCCAAATTATCACATTTCCATACAAACACAATTCAATAAGATATATATTTATCTTATCTATTCAACTTGATATCTTATCCCAACTTCTCTTTATTTCTCCCTTCTACTATTCAATTATATTTCTTTTGCCTTAGATTATATATATTCTTTATATCCATCTGTCTTATTTACAATTTCATTATTCTCTTCTAATGTTCTTCTTACATTCTTCTAAAATTTGATTAACTCATAGACAAACAAAACACAAAACATAAATACATAAAACTTCTTTTTGGAAAGCGGCTTACCCCGGGTTACCTCTTTTTGTACAGACATAAATCAAATTCATGCTCACTTAATATACTATTTCATATCTTATTTAGCATTCTGTATTTTCTATATATTTTCTCTCCTCTATTCACTCTCTTAATTCTATTATGTTTATTTCATCTCAATTTAAATAATTATACTTGTATCCTTTGTCCGTTCTCTTTCAATCATCTATTTATCTTTTCTTTCTAATACAATATTTCTCCTGTAATCACTGGCCGAAGCATGACAACTTTCTATCTTTCCCCTAAATCAAACACTTAAAATAATACATACTTTCCACACTGATTTTGCTTAGTACATTCCAAGTAATACATTTTAGAATAATAAAACAAAAATAGAAAAGGAATTGAGTTTATAATATAATAAAAACAATATTCCATAAAATATTAAACTCTATTGTTAACTCTTAAGCATTTTATACATTCCCTTTAATGCATTGTTAACTCATATAATAGTTCAATTTTCTAACTCAATTTCAAATACTAATATCTACAATACAATCTTATGTACTTTTGCAAAATCATATATTTTTTAATAACTTTTACCCGTTTTGAACCTTCCGCATCCCCATTAGCCTGCAGGCACGACTTCTATATCAGATGTTACCCAAGTAATCTTCATCAATTGTACCTGCCCTGTCCATCTGCCTCCTCCCTTAATCACCTGTTTGAGCTGTTCCTCTTCTTCCTTCAGCTTATTCACTACTTTCTAAAAACATAGGAAAAAAATTAAAGTAAAAAAGTAGACAGCAGAAGTTTAGACAACTAGAAACTACAATCATACAGCAAAGAACAGTTTCTAAGTCACAAAAATATATTATCGAGAAAATTAGAATGGTAAGTAATTGAATGAATAAACCAAATCTAGAATGATACATCTGGAAGCCACAACTGATAGATGGGCAGAGTAGCTCAGATATAATGGCAGAATATGAAGCTGGTGAAGGTTTAACAGTAAAAGAATGGCTAACTAAATTGTAGGAATATGCTTTGAAGTCTAGAAGAACTTGGTATTTAAAAAGTAAAGTAATACTATATAGAATTAATTTCTATTTCCATTTTTATATTACAGTTTTATACATGGAATTCTGCTACATCCAAAATTCAGATTTTAGAATTTATATCTTGACATAATTTCTAGATATAATTTCCAGTATTGTCTTAATATTTTAACTGTCACCTATAGCTTCTCTCATCCTTTGGTTTTAATGATTTGAACTATGTTAATCAGATATCTGTAAAGTTTAATAGATAAATGTTTTGATTAGAAAATGGTATAAAATACTTTGTATTAAATAATGCATTAGTATATATTAGTTATACCATATTTCACATTGGTTGGCTATCCACTCATATTTAACCTTTATCTTTGATTTTTAATATGTATTACATATTTTATATTCCTTTAAATTTGTGTACTTAAATTTATATCATCACTATCGCTCAACTATTTTATAAATATATAACTTTTTAAAGATTTAAAAAATACTGTAAACTCTTCCAAAGAGAAAAAAAGATTTTGGGGAAGAGTTCTGGATAGGGCATGGGCAACTTAGGAGAAAGGCACACAAGGGGTTACCCTTGCCTTACATCTTTAGTCATGAATAGTTTCAGTTTACCCCAACTTCAAATCTGGGGTAAGGATTTCCTTCCTATTGACTTCAGTGGAGAGGAAAAATAATTAAACCAAGAACTGCCAAGTCATATCAGCATGCCTAAGGAGAACAATCATAAGGGCTATATGATCCTTAAACAGTTGCTTTTCCCCTATACTGAGAAAATAGAAGGAAGAGGGAAAAAAGCCTCTGGAATACTATATAGCAGGGCTGTCAAACTCGCGGCCTGCAGACCAGATGAGTCACATGCTGGCCACACCCATGCTCTGTTTAGCAAAGGAGAAAAAAAGTTGTGATGCTGCCATGACAACATGAGTTTCTGCTATGTAGCATAATAATCTGTAGAATAGCAGCTAGTTTCCCTTCTAAGGCTAAACTAGTTTGGTTCTTTGTATTCCCTTTCCCAATTTTGTGTCCATTGTAATCCTTTCAATGGGGTCTTTCACTCCTCAGATTTTGCCTAAAGGAAACAGAGCATCTAAATTAAATACATTATTATTACCAATGCTATTGGATCACCACTGAGCTTCTTTTCATCTTCCGTCTCTATACCTAAAGAACAACAATATATAATTAGAGCAGTTTAAAACAGACAGCTAACTTGAAGATTTCTAATTGTGAAACTTTATGGAAATCCATGTGGCAAAGACGTGCAGCAGTTGACCAGGAATGAAGGCCAAGACAAATAAGCAAGTTGGCATAATTTGTATTGATGTCTATTTCAATACTCATGGATTGTCCTTTCTCAGCATTATGTCTGCAAATATTATTTCTGTGGTTTTCCATACATTACAGTCCTTTAAAATCAAGCAATTGCATTTTTACTGCAACATGGATAGGCAACCTTTAGGCGAGACTAAGAACTGGAGAGAATGTGGTCCTTCCTTCCTTTCTCTCATCTCATATATACACTACTTTCCATCTATTTCCTTCCTCAAAAAGGAGGGAAACAGATGAAAAGTATTGTATATATGAGATGATATATATTGTATATATGTATGCACAAAAAGGAGGGAAACTATGCCAACAATTTTCAACAGTCACCAAGGTTGCTTGTTTTGATACAAGAGGAAGCCATAAATATAAATTTTAATATTGTAAGCTGCCTGAAGTTGCCTTATGGTAAGATGGGCAGCTAATAAATTTTACAAATAATACCCTGAAGTAAAATAAAACAAAATAAATAGAAGAAATAAATGTCTACAAGCATATATTTGCAAATCTGTAGGGTGCTATGAATATGTTAATATAAGGATCCAAGAAATTCAAGGAAGAAAGGCACATGCTGAATGGAAAATACACACTCCAATGACTTGGCTAAAGTGGGTTTTAGAACAGTTAAGCAAATTTTTGAGAAAGATTTTTTAAACTTATTTCCCCCCAGCACTTATGACAAAGATAAGATACCTACACCTCCGTCCCTATGAGGCAGGACAGGCTGCAGAAGTAAAAATATAAAAAAATATGATTAATAATAACAACTCTGTGTTTGGACATGCAAGCAGGAAGAATAAGGATATTTCCAAGTTATAATAGACTGAAAACATAACAAAAAATCTATAATACAGAAGATACTGTCTGAATTTTCAAATGGCCCAAAATATTGGATTGCGGACTTTCCCTCCCCCACCCCCAGTCTAATATATCAGCAGCATCAGTGCTAGATTCACCTTCTGTTTTTTTTATATCAAGGATGATGTACTTGCAGACTAGGTCATGATTGTTGTGGAAGGTCCGCATCAGAATCACAGCATCTGTGATGCTCACTTTTCCATAGAATTTCTCACGTAGTCGGCGGACACTTTTTTCTAGCTGCATTAAAAATATGAAAGCAATTTAAAATGTAAAATTTTCAGAGACCTGACACATTTTCTTTTAGAGCGGATTTCCCCTTAGTGCCAACCCAGACTTACTGCTCAGTAGTAGGATTAATCAATATATTTATGTAATTATTTATTTAAAACAAGATGATGGATAAGTATGAATGTGGGAGCAAGTTTAATTCTTTCCTCATTTGTGGTTTTGACCAAACCTTCATTTTGACTACTATTAACACAAATTGGAGCATTCCCTCCAGACCAACAGATAGTTGGGGGAGAAGGATTTCTTTATGAAGATTGTAGCAAGGAAGGAAAAGGCTCAGCCACATACAGATGCACGCATGTATGCACAACCACACATATATCAACTCAACCCCCCAAAAAACATTTAGCATAGCTATCATAATTTCTTCTTTGGCCTTTACTGAGCAACTGTCTAGAATTCCACCAGTACTTTTTAAATTGTTTGCAAATATTCACCGCAAAGTACATCCTTTCCAATGTCTCAATTCGTAAGTCATGCCAAAGTTCCCTTTCCCCAACAGCAAAAACTGAGACCAGTGAGAAGGTCAAGAAAGTTAGCAGGAAGTCTTATCTCAGAGATTCTTTTGTACCTTTGTAAGCTTAAATCATGGACTGTAGAGCAAACTACTTACTGAGCAGGCAAGATGAACTTTGCAAAAATTGGAAAGTTCACCCTTCTTGGCAAACAGCCCACATGTATGATAAAAAAAAAATTCAAGTCAAAGCTGACTCTCATGGATACAACCATGTCATTTTTTTTTTACAGTAATTTGGAAGTAATTTGTTATCCCTTTCTCCTGGGATTGCTTATTTCAACTTTCTAGTTTAGCCTGTAGGCCTGGAATTAACTGGTGGCCACTAATTATGGACAAACTGGGTTCAATCCTACTTAGTTTCTGGATCAGCCTAGATTCTTCCATACATTTACATATGTATAATTTTTATTAAATAGGTTTTTCCATAAAATAAAAATAATATAAAATTTTAAGATAAGAGAACTATAGAAAAATAAGAGAAAAATGAAAAAGAAATAAATTACAGACTTAGAGTTGGGAGAGACCTTGGAAGTCTTCTGGTCCAAAATCCTGCTCAAGCAGGTGACCTTATACTATTCTGGACAAATGGTTGTCCAATCTCTTAAAAACATCTAGTAATGGAGCATCCGCAACGTCTGAAGGCAAGCTGTTCCACTGATCAATTGTTCTCACTGACAAGATGTTTCTCCTTAATTCTAGCTTGGATCTCTCTTTGATAAGCTTCCATCTGTTACGCCTTGTCTTGCCCTCAGATGCTTTGGAGAACAGATCACCCCATCTTCTCTGTAATAGTTCCTCAAATATTGGAAGACTGCTACTATGTCACCCTTAGACTTTCTCTTTGTTAGACCAGTTTCCACAACCATTCGTATGTTTTATTCTCCAGTCACCTTATCATCTTTGTTGTTCTCCTCTGCACTCTTTCTAGAATCTCAATATTCTTTTTTGTATTGCAGTGACTAAAACTGGATACAGCATACCAAGTATGGTCCTATCAATGTAGAATGAAGCAACACTAGCACTTCACATGATCTTGATGCAGCCTAGGACTGCATTGGCTTTCTCGTAGTTGCAACACACTGTTGGTTCAAACTTTAATGGTTGTCTACTAACATAGAGTTCCCCAGCCATTTTGGCTTTGTGGACCAGGGGATGGGGGTGGAGAAGGGATGGTTCCTGTGAAAGGTGGGCAAGAATGAACAAGTGGCCTGGTTCTGAACGGCTCAAAGCCTGGTAGTGGGCCACAACCAGGGGATTGGGGACCCCTGCATTAGACATTCATATACATTAATCCTTATTTCTACTTTTTAGCCAATTGTACCATTTGTCCCAGACCACATAGTATTCTGATTCTTCTTTGCCTTTTAATTCTAACGTGAGCTTGCCAATTTCAGCCCATTCCAATACTTTCTGTATTACTAATTCCTCAGATGGTATACTATCCTGTTTCCAACACTGTGTGAAAGCAATCCTGGCTGCTGTTGCTATGTGTAATATGACATCTTTAATCTTTTTGCTAAACTCTCCTTTAATATAATAATAGGAACAGTTCAGGTTTCAGTTCAGTTTGGTGTTTTGTTATTTCTTGTAGCTGATTTCTTATTCTTACCCAATATCTTCTCGCTTCAGGACATAACCACCACATATGAAAGAAGGTGCCATATTTATGTTTACATTTCCAGCATTCTGGGCTCATATTAGGATACATCTTTGCCAATCTCGCTGGTGCTTAATACCAATGGTAGAACATTTTATAAAGGTTTTCTTTGTAGGCCACGGACATTGTTAATTTATAATGTTGGGTCCATAATCTTTCCCAGTCTTCTAATTCTATACTATATCCAAAATTTCTTGCCCATGCCATCATGGACTCTTTAACTACTTCTTCTTCCATATTAAATTTTAGCAAGTAATTACATGTTTTGGTTATAAGTTTCTCTCTCATTCCCGTTAAAATTGTATCTAATTGTTGTTGGTCCTTATCAAATCCGTATTCTTCTAAGTCTTTTTTGTATCTTGCCTGTAACTGTAGGTATGGCCACCAATCTATATTTATTCCTTGGTCTCTTAATTCCTGGTTTGTTTTTAGTCTCCCTTGGTTATCTAATATATCTTACAATTTTTCTTATATCTAATGTATTTGGATAAATAATTGCTTCCGTGATTAATAGCCAACCTGGTATCTTCATATAATGATTTTTTTTAAAAAAATTCCCATGTCTGTATCAATGAGTCCCTTATTTGGTGTCTATAAAAATACGTGTGCATCTTACTCCTCCCAAAGGAAAGCATGCCATCCTATTTGTAGACCATTCCCTTCTAATATTAAAATCCTTTTACTATTCAAATTAATCCACTCCTTTATCCAAGTTAGTGCCATGGCTTGATAGTACAGTTCCCAGTCTGGGAGTCCGAAGCGACCTCTGCTTCTACTATCCTGTAACATTTTCGTTTTTATCCATGGTTTCTTACCTAACCATACAAATTTTATTGTTATTTTATTTAGCTCTTCAAATAATTTTTTATCTAATCTTATGGGGATTGTTTGGAATAAAGCAAGATGGCCAAGATGTTCATTTTAATTGTGGCTATTCTTCCCAATAAGGATAACTGTAATTTCCCCCATAATTCTAAATCTTTATTTGTTGCAACAATTTTTTATAGTTATCGTCTTTAATTGAAGAGCATCTCGCTGTTAATCATATTCCCAAATATTTTAATCTTCTTTGTAATATGTAATCCAGTTTCCCTTTTTAATTCTTTTTTCTGATTCTCTGTTAGATTTTTAACTAATATTTTGGTCTTGTCTTTATTAATTTTAAATCCTGCCACTTCCCCAAATTCTTCTATCTCTTGTAGTATGATACTTCCTGTTTCTATTGGTTCTTCTATAAAGAATACTACGTCATCTGCAAAAGTCTGGGTTTTATATTCTTCTTTTTTGATTTTGGTCCCTTTAATTTCCATATTTTGTCTAATTCGGGTTAGAAACAATTCAAGTGAAAGGATAAAAAGCAGAAGTGATAACAAACAACCCTGTCTCACTTCCTTGGCAATCTTAAATTTCCCTGTGATATCTCCATTTAACAGCACACTAGCTTTTGAGTAGAATATATTGCACCTAATCATTCTTTCAAATTTATCTCCAAATTTCATGTCTTGCTGTATCAAAAACTGCCAATTTAAATTGTCAAAGGCTTTTTGAGCATCTAAAAAGATTAATACCGCTTGTTTTTCGGGATGTGCCTAGTAATACTCCAGTATATTTACCACCATCCTTGTGTTATTTCTAATCTGTCTTGTAGGTAGAAATCCATTTTGATCTGAATATATGATTTCATTTAGTAGTTTTTTCATCCTTTCCGCTATTATGGTGATATTTTATAAATGACATTTAGCAGCGACATTCGCCTATAGTTTTTAATTTGTTGGTGATTTATGCCCTCTTTGGGTATTAATGTAATGTATGCCTCAGCCCAGGATTCTGGCAATCTAGCCTCTATCAATGCTTCATTATACACTTCTAACATTCAAAGCTCCATCAATTCATATATATTCTTATAAAGTTCCCTTGAGATTCCATCTGGTCCCGGGGATTTGTTATTTTTCTGTCTTTGTATTGCCCTTTTCAATTCTGTTAACGTTATTTCCCTTTTCAACATTTCTCTCTTTTCTTCAGCTATCGGGAGAAAACCTTTCTCTTTTCAATATTGCAATATATTTTCATTAGTTATTTCTTCTTGTTTATAAAGCTTTTCAAAGTAATTTTGCGTAATTCTTTTTTTCTCTTCCATATGGTGTTGTAAAGCCCCATTTTCATCCTGTAGATGATGTATTAACCTTTTTTCCTTTTCTTTTTTTAATTTATAAGCCAGCCATCTCCCTGGTTTATTTGCAAATTCAAAAAAGTTCTGTTTTGCAGATTTTAGATTTTGTGCCCTTTCTAATTTGAGACACTTAATTTATGTCTGGCTAAAGCCACTTGCCCTTTAATTGTATTATTCTGTGATTCTTTTTGTAATTGAATTTCTATTTTTTTAATCTCTTCCTGTAGCTAATTTTGTCATCTCCATTTTTCTTTGTTTCTTCTCGCTGTATATGCTATCGTCATTCCTTGCACATAGGCTTTGTGGTGTCCTATAGATTCTGCAGTGATGTATGTTGCTTAGTATTTTCCCTAAAAAATAATTTCAATTCCTTTTTTGGGGGGTGGGGGTATATTCTTCTTCTTTTAATATCTGTGTCCTCCTCCTCCTCCTCCTCCTCCTCCTCCTCCTCCTCCTTTTGGCCTTTCCAAGTTACCTGTAGGGGATTGTGGTCCACCCATATATTTGGCATAATTTCCATTGTGTCTATATCTTTCCCTAATTCCCCATTCATCCGAACCATGTCTATCCTTGACCATGAGTTATGTGAGTTGGAGAAAAAGTATATTTATTCTTATTTGGGTTTAGGTTTCTCCACAAGTCCACCAGATTTAATTTGTGCATCATCTCAAAAAAGGTGTTGGTAAGACTTTCCTTTTTTCTTCTTGTTTTTTGTTGTTGTTTATATAATCTTTTTTTTATGTCTACTATTGCGTTAAAGTCACCAACTAAACATATATTCCCCGTCCTATTTCTATTATTTTCCCCTATAATTTACTGTAAAACTCTTTCTGATTATCGTTTGGAGCGTATATTACCACCAGAAACATTTGTTTTTGACATATCATTAATTCAATCATTAATATTCTTCTGTTTTGTCTGCATAAATTTGTTTAGCCTTTAACTTTTCCTTCACATATGCAGCTACTCCTCTCTTTTTTGATCTGCTAGTGTGTGTACAGCGTTCCTAATTTTGAATATTCTAAATAATTACCGTGCTGCTTTTTCATATGTACCTCTTGCAGGTACACTATGTCCACAATCAGTTTAGCTAATTTTGCAAGTATTTGTTTTCTTTTAGTAGGGGAATTTAGTCCATTAATATTTATTGATAGTAACTTGACTTCTTCTTCCATTGTTTTATTTGTTGACTTGTCTCTGTCTTCTGTTGGTCTTTACGTCTCTTTGTGCTCTTGTTCTTATTCCTTCTTTTTCATGTTGTTCCATTTCCTCCTTGCTTCTTCCTTCCTGTTCTGGTTATTTTATCTCTCGTTGTTGGTCTTCTTGACTTCTGCTTTCTAGTTTCTCTTGCTGCTGTAATTTTCTTTTGTCCCTAAAAGTTCTTGTGACTTATCTATGTTGTCAATCTTGATTTTTTCCCCCTGCCATGTAACCATCATTCCTTCTGCTATTAACCACCTTAAATAGTACATTATGTTTGGTCAGTTGTGTTGCCAGAAAGCAGTAATCTCTTCTCTACTCTTTCACTCTTCTTGGCACTTGCTTCAAAGTTTGGATTTCTCTATCCTTATAAATCATTGGTTCATCTCTTATTATCTTATAAACTATGTCTCTTACTCTTTTCTTTGCAAATCTAATATGTACGGCCCAGTTCTAAATGTGTCCCAACCCAGGACCAGGCTGCTGCCTTGGGGTTGGGGACCTAAGTTTTAAAATGCTCCACTGCAGTTGTGAACAAGATGACCAATCCCTTTATATCCTGACACTGAAACCTTCTGAAGACTGCTGTCCTGTGGCATCTCATGAGAAGCAGCCATCTGGAGTACATGTGAGTGAGCTCCCATCCTATTCTTATCTGGAAAGGTTCCAAAAAAACCTGGTCTACTGAATAGTTCTTTGGTCTTTGAGGGCTGTTCCATCCACCAATTGGTGATGTTCAGTAGGAAGGGGAAATGAAGCTGAGGAGGAATCCCCCAACTACTGCTCTTAAACAGAGCCAACTATAATGATAACTGCAGATGCTGTCTTTGCCAGCATCCTATTTTTGCTAACTTAAAAACTAGAGGAAAGCCCATTAACCCAGTTGGCTGTTGTTGCCTCTGGTCCTCCCAGCCTTTTCAAAGCTCCTTTCTGAAGGAGCAAATAACTAGAGGAAACTTGACAGGAGCAAAAAGATAGATGCCAACAATAAACAGACCACTTAGCTTGTGACATTTGTTGTGCCATTGTCCTCTGACATTTCTGGTAAAAAGGAACAATATTTACAGATTGCATCAGGGATTTTCTGTACCTTTGCACCCTCCTGGTCCAGAATTCAAGATAAACAACTAGCAGACGATTGCTGAATACAAATCCATCCATTGAGCTAAAAATCAATGTTTGGTGTCTGTGCATCTGCTAAGAATTGTTACCTCTTTTCTAAAGAATATTGGTTGTGCTTGCACCTGGTGTTTTTGAAGTTTCAATACTAATGAATCTCTTGGTTGGAGGCCAAGTGTGAGCCTGTAATTTGCATTTGTTAAATTTAACTTTGCACAATTAGGAGTTTGGATCCTATTTGGCCTGTGCATTAGAAAAGAGCAAAGCTAGCTCACAGACCCAAAGGTGCTTTTCAAAAAGCAACTGGACTTTCTTTGTTTTTCCTTAAAGATATTCAACTTCTCATACAAGAACTGAAGAAGCTTCTTGGGATGAGAAGCAAAATGTCTTCAAAGGATAACAAAGAAAATCCAGCTGCTTTTGGAAAAGCATCTCTTGAACAACCATAACCTGGATGACTAAGGATCTCCAAAAACATCTAACTCTAGACCAGGGGTGTCCAACCTTGGCAACTTTAAGACTTGTGGACTTCAACTCCCAGCTTTGCTGGCTGAGGAATTCTGGGAGTTGAAGTCCACAAGTCTTAAAGTTGCCAAGGTTGGACACCCCTGCTCTAGACAGACCACAATATTCTGTTTCCATGGCAGAGGAAACATTATCATCTTCATCCATATTCTAATTCCATTCCCCCATTGCTGGTCCATTACATCTTACTTCAAAATGTAAAGAGCTGGTCAAGTCCCAATAAATCATTATTTTTTAGACCAAAAATAATTATTTCTTTCAATCAGGCTGGTTTGCAGATACAGTAACAGCAACTGACAAATCTTAAATTTCACACATCAGATTAAAGTCAAAGCCAAACTACATTACAATTTAGTGGCCCCCAAACTCATGGACCTTTTCATGAAATTGCATATTGTTCATCGATCTCCAATCATTTATATGAAAATAATTTAATAAATACTACTAGATACCAATATTAACAAGTACTACAAATAACAACAGCTAGTCCCATTGATGCTTAGGAGTTTGGAGAAGCCTGGCTTAGCATGAATCTACCTCCATTCATATGAAATGCTAAACCTTTTTTGTATATTGGATGTTTAAATTTATAAAAATCAGTTATTTGGATCAGTTCTTTTTTGGATGCATCTGCTAGAAAGAATGTTATTGTTGTACTTTATTAGTACAGTTAACTGTAGTTGTCCTTAATTATTATTTATAAAACTAGCTTGTTTTAATATACAAGATAAAATGTGTTCATATTATCTACAGGTTGCTGTAACCAATTACAAATGCAAACTGAATGCCAAGTGCCCAAAATGCAATCATACCACTGCCAGGGTGGTATTGCACCTGTAACTTTGAGGACAGAACATAAATAACCTTTTAAAGGTTATTTATTTATTTACCCTCGTAACTTTAAACAATTATTAAGTGACCAGTTGTAATTTGAGGACAATCTCCACACCCAGTTATGCATTTTTCTTTTTACAGTTGAAACACCTGTTTAGATAATAAATATGCTCAAACTCCAGACTATACTCCAAACATGTATAATTTAAAGGCATATAACCCAAGCTACACAGCAAGAAGAATAAAACAGAGAGCCAGCTGGTGCTAGTGGTTGACAACAGGTAGAAACAGAGAAACCATGAGTTCTAGTCCTGCCTTAGGCACGAAGCCAGCTAGGTGACTTTGGGCTAGTGCTCTCTCAGTCCTATGAAGAAAGCAAGGGCAAACCACTTCTGAAATCTCGTCAAGAAAACTACAGTGACTTGTCCAGGCACTTACCAGGTGTCAACATTGATTCAAAAGCACCACCAGAACTAAAAAAAACAACAACATATGAAGTTCACCGTCCTATGTTTTCTAGATACTATTGCTCAAAACAAGTTTGTGACACGGTACTTATTCTGCAAAGCAAAACTTCCTTATTTCAGTGCCACCATGATTGTGATCCTCTTCCTTCTTCACAGTATGTTTAAAATAATTTTCAAGGCCAAGTGGCCATAGGATACAATCAGCTTTTGCACATTAAAAAAAGTTTATGTTTAACAGTACACTTCTTTCTCTCTAGGCAATGAGAGTGTGCAAGCATATTGCAGTTGTATTAATATTTGGGGCCAACACATGCTTCCTTCTGATAAACTCCAGGCCACTGACACAGCAGAATAAAGAGAAGGAAGAGGCCCAATTTGCTGAAAATTAGGAGCATCCAGGAAATATACAGCAGGATTCTAAACTGTCTCTTTCCTATATTCATTAGCAAACCCATGGCTGGGAACTGCATGTTTACAAAGCATACAACGCTGCTTTTGATGGAATATATTTATATCCAGTAATGTGCAAAACATTTTAAATGTAAACTGTTTTGTATTAAAACATGGCATTTTGAGACCAAAACAATTCTTTCAAGTATAACACAGCTGTTTTGCATTAGACCCAGACAGTGCCAATCACTTTCCCAATGTGTCAAATGTGAAGCAGCTCTGGTTTGAGCTGAACACATTTTCAAACGATTAAAGCAGATCTCTTAGATATGAATCAGAAAGGGACACTTTGAATGTAGTATTTTGCACAAACTTCTTTAATTAAAGCAATTGTCCCTGGCTGGCAAAAATCTCTCTAAGCTATGTTAAACATTTTAGAAAAATGAACTCAGAAATGATTAAATAAAAATTATTGAGTAGCTCTAGGAAAAGAGTGATATGTTTGGTGGTTCTGGAAAAAGAATTGAAATTTTGTTTATTGATTTTTTTCATATCTTTTCAAACTGACTTTTAAGGCCCTGTCCTTTCTAGCTTAAAAGATATCCATATATATCATTAAATTATTGCTATAAATTATAAATTTTAATTTAATTCTATGCATAGTCAGGCATCTATACTGGTAGAGTCAGAAACTTCAACAATTGACAGTCTGTTGCTACAAATATTTTGGATGGGAATTTGGACTATCCACTCAGATATAAAATTCTATACCCTGTTATTTCCTGTCCCCACTCTGAATGGTAAAAATCTGAGACTATTCCTCTGATGCAATTGTTGTTCGCTTTTCTGTTTGTCTTTTAATTGAAATGTTATATTTGGTCTTTTCTTTGTCCTTGGTTGGGCAAATAAGGTTTCCAAGGATGACAGCTTGAGTAAATAAAACAAAAATTCTTCGTGTAAATCCTTTTGCACAGGGCAATGTACAATATTCACTACTTCCTCAATATCCTATTCCTATTACTCTTTCTTTCTTTGTCCTGTTGCTTTTCTCTTCTCTTGGCTTCTCTTATGTTTTAATATTTTATTATCTCTATCAATATTTTTTCTTCAGTGTGGCCAAGTATTGGAACTTAAGTTTGGGGCCCATGGAGCAGAAGGGCAGTTAGTTAATGATTGGCAGAAATGGGGTAGCAACCAACGAGGAAATTATAACAGAATAATAGGGTAATCTATTTCTCAGACAGATAAAGATGGTTTAACACTGAATATCAAATACTATAGATAGGAGAGTTCTGGTTATCATTTTTTTTGGAAACAGGATACTGAACGATAAGGCCTGTTGATTTGATACTGATGACTTTTATTAAAATTACCATCAAAATCACCGGCCCCTAGAATTGTAGCTGCAGAAATCCGAATGATCCGTGGGTTCCCTCTTTATTGCCCCCTCGTGCTCCTCCGGGGATTTGCAGGAGAGTATTTTCTCGCCGAGAGCTACTGTATCATACAGAAACAGCCTTCCTTAGACATATCATGCTCTAGATCAGGCAGGTAAACGATGCACACAACCCCCCACACCCATCTGATGCTGATCAAAGATGAAGGGTGTTGTAATCTCCTGCCTCCTACGAGGCGCGGGGGGGCGGGGGGAACCATCGACTCAGAGGAAACTCCTTCGCAGGCATCGACCAAATACTGCAGACCCTTTCTTTAAAATAATATTGCTCTCTCGCTACCGTGAAGAATAGCGCCTACCTCCACCTCATCCTGTCTTTCCCTCAAGGCGTACATGGTGCTGAAGGCGAGGGTCAGTTCCTTCTCCAGCTTGAGGTCGACGCTCCGTGCCACTTAGGCAACGGAGGGCGGCACAGGAAGCCCTCCAGGCCAAGCCCAGCCCAACTCAGCCCGCCGTTGCTTTCACTTTCAATCAGCTCAAAACAAGGGGGTCCGCCCAGATATTTAGCTTCACCGGACTTCCTTCTTGTTTCTGGCGAGAAAATTCGCCGTAGCGACGGCTCGTCTAGAGACGCGGTTCGTTCGGAAAGTCACTTTTCATTCGGAAACCGCCCCTCCTCCCCCTCAAAACAGGGTTGCCATTTATTTGCTTGCCATTTGCAATTTCATCCCAAGGCATGGGGGCGAATCGGCATTCAGCAGGTGCTCCCTCTCCACCTGGCTCTTCTGAAACTTTACGCTTAGAAAGTTGGATTGGCCTTTTTTCCCGTTGACTCGGGCGAGCGGATCTCCGTGTGTGTGAGTGTGTGTGTTTCGACGTGCTTCATGATGACCGGTATTTCGGTACAAATTACAATCGTCTTTCTATGGCGATTTTCTGTGGACGTAGTACACTTAGATTTCAGTAGGACATTTGACAAAGTACAGGTAGTCCTCTACTTACAACCTCAACTGAGCCCAAAAGTTCTGTGGCTAAATGAGCCATTTGTTAAGTGAGTTTTGCCCTATTTTATGACCTTTCTTGCCATGATTGTTAAGTGAATCACTGCGTTAAATTAGTAACATATTTTTAAATGAATCTGGCCTCCCCATTGACTTTGCTGATCAGAATGTAGAAAAATTGATCACATGATCCCAGGACACTGCAACCATCATAAATATGAGTCATTTGCCAAGCATCTGAATTTTGATCATGTGACCACAGTGATGTTGCAACAGTTCTGTGAAAAATGGTCATTAAGTCACTTATTTCAGTGCTGTTGTAACTTCAGATGGTCAATAAAGGAATTGTTGTAAGTCGAGGACTACCTGTAACAATGTTACCTATTTTATAAAAATTCTTGTTAAGATTATAATTCTATGTAAATTTCAACCCTTTCTTCCACACACTCTCCTAGTGATTCAACTTTTTACTATATCCAAAAACATTTTGCTCATTTTATCATACAATCTTTAATGTTTTGTCTTCTGTTTTCATTTTCAATAACGGTTTGTACATCTTAGCAATAATATGATCATCTTTTGTACAGAACTCTACAACAAATTCAGTTTTACCGCTTTCAAATTCATAAGCCTTTTCATTCAGTTTAAATACTTTCATTAGCTCAGCATAGGGAAACCAATTCCATGTAAAATCTTCAAGCTCCAAGTTTTTTCTTGTTTTTAAATTAAATTCTCCTTGGGAATTTTCAGCAAATCAGCATAGATAAACCATTTTTGTTAAACCATCATTTCCCTTTTAAAAAGAGCTTCTTGGGTTGACAACCAGAAAGGGAAATGATTTTGTCTTAAACGTATTCCAAATTCTCACTATGGCTCATATAATAAAATGATTTTTAAAATCTACATGCACCTTAACTTTGTCGTACCACAAATAATCATGTCATCCAAATCTTAAATCATGACCTTCCAATTTCAATAACCTCCTATTTCATCTGTTCTTTCATTCAAACTTAGCAATAAGTACAATATTGTATTTGGTAATTCTAACTCCTTCTTTCTTTAGCATCCTGCAGGACTGTGTGTAGTATTTAATTCCTGCTTTCTTTATTCTCAGAATTAAATAACAAGAATCACTTTATCTCTTCTTGATTTTTTTAAAAACCTCTATTCTCCCTTAATTCAACTTTGATATTTTTCTTAACATACCAACTGTCACACCAATGTAACAAAACAGGTAGAAATGTGCTCTTATTAAATAGCCATTTGTACTTCTTTTAGACCATATCCTTTACCAGTATTTGTATATTTTAATTTTTCTCCTTGTATTTCTCCATCTTTAGTAACTACTCTAACAAGGTAGCCAAATTCATCTCCAGTCTCTTAATTTGTAAATATTTATGTACAACTCCCAATAATTCACTTCTTTTTGTCTCCTTTGCATTTTTGATGGATTGAGAGCCATAATGTGATCTAGAAGGATTTTTATGTACAACAAACATTCCTTATATAGTTCTCCATTTATTAAATAACATATTTAATATATTCAAGTGGACATCAGTCATCCTTCTCTTACTCTCTTTCATTGAAATTTGCATGCCATTTATTCTCATGCACATATTGCTTTTATCCAGGGGTGGTATACTACCGGTTCTGCCCAACTCTATAGAACCAGTAGTTCTAAAGAGCAGCAGACACCAAACCGGTTCTGTGTTTGCTGCTGATCGGCCCATCCACTTGCCTGGGCTCTTACCTGTCCTTTATTTCCTGCTTTTTCAACCTCAGCTGCTATGCGTGGCACAGCTGAGGTTGAAAAAGCAGGAAAAAGGAGGCTTTTCAAACACTACACCTGCGTGCAGTGCTTTTTAGGTGTCCTGGCGGCACAGCTTATAATTTTCTACATGTGCGTGCAGCAAAACGTAATTACCAAACTGATAGTAACGCCAGTTGAATCCCACCCCTGGGATTATCATAAATAGTTCTGTGATTGGATAGGAGGCAGTTTAGCTCACAGAAAGAATGTACACATGACAAACATCTCTAAAGAGACCTTTCCTAGTTTCAAGGGCTAAAAGGTGATGAGGGAGAAATATACTTTCAGGCTTGCAAGCCTCTTTTAATGTAAACCTTTGGGCTATAAAGCGTTTGCAGGCTTGTAATGGTTTAATCTTGCAAGTTTCTGTTAATATAAACCTTACAATAAAGTTAGTGCTAGTATTTTTGGATGTGCTTCTTATGTGGACCTTGTAAGAGTTAGGTTACACTAAGGATTAGGGTTTGAGATAATGCCAAAAAGAACCTTTAAATAGTGCAACCACAGAATCCAGGTATGGTTTTGAACAAACTGATATTTGAATTTCATCTTTTTGAAATTTAAATTCAGAGACATTTTGGAGTCAACGCATCATAATTCTGAAGGATTCTTGATATAGTATAAACATGATTAATGGTGACAGGTATTTGACTGAGAAGGTACATAATTTTTTGCTGTGTGCTTATAGCCCTGCCTGGAAACTCTTAAAAGGCGACTATAATGAAACTTAGAATAGAATAGAATTCTTTATTGGCCAAGTGTGATTGGACACACAAGAAATTTGTTTTGGTGCAAATGCTCTCTGTACATAAAAAAAAGATACATTTGTCAAGAGTCAAGAATCATAAAGTACAACACTTAATAATAGTTATAGGGTACAATAAGCAATGAAATCATACTAGGTAACAGTTAATATAAATCTTGGTGCAGATTTTGTAAATAATTAGACAGTGCTGAGGGAATTATTTGTTTAGCAGAGTGATGGTGTTTGGGGAAAAACTCCTTGTGTTTAGTTGTTCTGGTGTGCAGTGTTCTGTAGCATCGTTTTGAGGGTAGTAGTTGAAACAGTTGATGTCCAGGATGTGAGGGGGTCTGTAAATATTTTCACAGCCCTCTTTTTGACTCATGGAGTCCACAGGTCCTCAATGGAAGGCAGGTTGGTAGCATTTTTTTTTCTGCAGTCCTAATTACTCTCTGAAGCCTGTGTCTGTCCTGTTGGGTTGCAGACTCAAACCAGATAGTTATAGAGGTGCAGATGACAGACTCAATAATTCCTTTGTAGAACTGTATCAGCAGCTTATGGATGTAGTATAGTAATTTGCCAATTAAGTCTGGTTAGTACCGGTACATAGATGAGAAACCATCAGAAAAGTCTGTGGACCAGAGTACGCAATTACAAATCGCAATCAGAAAACTATAGTGGCAAACTACTTCTGCACTGTGCAAAGGAAACAAGATGAATTGTGTCCAGTACTAGAAATCTCGCATTTTTACGCCAAATGATATTCCACCGGTACATTCATGTCGCGATAATTGCGCTCTAGATTCCAGAAGGTTTAAGGGGGGGGAAAAAGAGCAATTTTTAATTTTTTTGTCTGGAACGCCCCCTTCCACGCTGCCCCTGGTTACAGTTTAAACATGACCCCAACTCCCACTGAAAGCGTCGTCCCTCGACTTCTCGCGAGATTTTTCCTCGGCTGGAGAACAACCCGCGGGCGGGTGAAGGCGGAATGCGTGCCCGCTCATTCCCCGCCCTGCCCGAGCGCAGCTTGGCGAAGGGTTTCTTTTTTTTTCCTGTCTCTCCCTGTGCCCCAGCTCTCGCGGGGAAAGAAGCTACTGCTGTGGAGCCATCATGGCGGCGGTGGCCGGTTCTCCCTCTGCCACCCTCCCTTCGTTGGCGACATCCACCGCTCCAAGTCCCGCCGCCCTGCCGCCCGGGCCACCCGGTTACCGGCCGTTTGAGCCTGAGGCGCTGGGTCTGAGCTCGAGCTGGAGGCTCACCAGCTACGGGGAGCTGCGCGGCTGAGGCTGCAAAGTCCCCCAGGAGACGCTGCTCAGACTCCTGGAGGGACTTAACACTTCCCATGCTGGGTTGGCCGGGGCCGGGGATACGGGGGCTGCCGGGAGTCCTCCCACCCTAGGTAAGGCTTGGCGGGGAAAGCGGCCTTTTAGGTGCTACGGGGGGTGGGGGAGGGGTGTCTCGAAACTGGTGGGAGCGCTTAGTAGTGAACGATGGAAGAAGGGGCAGCACCCAAATTTGAAGAGCGGGTTAGGAGAGTGTTGCCGTGGGTGACGTCTGGGCTACAGATCGAATGGGTGCCCTGCTTGAAACTTTTTAATTGACATAAAGTCTGGAAGTCATTTTAAACAAGCCGCATGCGTTCGATTTTAGTTTCTTGCTCCCACATAACCTTACGCGTGGATAATGCATGTGACAGGCTCTGTTAAATAAAAATCTCCCTTGGTTTGAACTTTGTCCGAAGTCTTGGACACTTTGTGGACAATTCAATGTTGGGGAAATGATTTGCTGTTGTTTTTAACTTTAGCCTACTGGAGGTTACAAAATCCACTCCCCAACATGGTGCATGGCCCTCGACTGAGAAGCGTTCGCCCCTTTTGCTTGCTGTCCATTCTGTAACTTAGTGCCTCGCCACATTTTTTATTGCATAAGCCCTGAAAATGATGATACAGTCAACTTTCAAGTAATGGCTTGAATTGGAAATGATTCTAAACGTTCAAGAATGCTGTGGTCCCTCTTCTCTACAGGCATTGGAATGGACTCCTGTGTGATTCCTTTGAGGCATGGGGGTCTGTCCTTGGTGCAGACTACAGACTTTTTTTACCCA